GAGGCCAAGGAAGCTTATGTTGATGGAAAGTGTTTCTGAATAATTTGAAATACACACAGGAAATCTAGGTTAAAAATAAACTTTGAAAGGTTTCACTTCAATATTATTGTATTAAGGGATTCGTCTTTAGAAAGCACAACTAAAAAACTGACAGGAGGTGTTGAAGACATGGGTGGCAAAATAATATCTAAGACAAAAAAGCAACAAGTTAAAGTTACATTAGGACCATCAGTCTTACTCTACTCTAAATTACGCAGAGTGTGCGCTGCTTGGAGGCCACTTCCACTTGATCGCTCCTTGCTGGCACCATTCTGCAGCGACCAAAATTAAGACAGCAAAATACGTTGTGGCTGACAGACGGAGTGGGCGCCCCTTGCTGACCACTTCCACGCCCCACACAGAGGCCACACGGAGGCCTAAAAAAATCTGACAGCGCGGGTTGGCTTAGCGCTGCAATAAATTTTTGTCCCTTTCAGTTTGTTTCCAGGCCCCAAAACGACACAGGTTTCATCATCCCATGTTCGAAACCAGTTCCAACTAGGCGCAGGGACTACTGGTACTAGTACTAAGCACCATTATTAGACGTTTGCATGATTATCGTACTTTAATGTCTAGCCATTCCAATCCCATTTCATCGAAGAAATCACAAAATTTGGGCGCAAAAGCATTGGCGAAGGAACCAGAGACGTTGGTACATGTATTCAGCTATGGTCCTGGTTTTTAATTCGTCGTATTGGTGGTGGAAGAGAAAAAGTGTTTGATAGAGATACAGTAAAACACGACTACAGCGGGACCATGCCTACAGCGGGACCTTGCCAGAACCCCCATTGTTCTCTATATAAACTCAATTGTCACCTGTGCTCATGTTTAGCCGGGCAAGGAAAGGTCTGAACTCGGATACAGCGGGAGAGATCGAGCGAGCTCTATCTGGGGGGAAAGGGGGGAGGGGTGCTGTAGGCGGGCTCCAAACAGGCAGTCAGCGGTGCAGCGTTTTGAATGGCCAGTCCAGTGATGAGTGAGGTGGGGCAGGCGGCAGAGAGGGGCTGGTGCGGAGAGACACTTTACGTGAGCCACTCCAAAAGTGATGTGCCGTAGCTTAGTTTCAGAGTTCAGTATGAGAGCGTATAGGTCATAGCCCTAGGCCTAGGCTAGGCCAAAAAGTAAAAGAAGAGGAGAGCATGTCGTGCGTGATTCCTGATTCTTTGAATTGTGATCGTTGATGCTCATTATAGGACGCACGCATCCACTCCACCAATTCTACAGTTGCCCTTCCGGTACTATAGACAGCACAAGCAACGAAACCAAGGAAAAGATGGCTTCAAACAAGGACAAAAGGAAATGCTTCTAATTCGAATTAATATACAAAAGCCGAGATAATCAACAAAGTTGACAATACAAGGAATTAGGAAGAATAATAAAATGCGCAGATTTTAATGAATGGAACGGAGGTATTCACGTGGATTTTAGACACTTTCGGTAATTTCCCCTTTTGTATTCCTTTTTGTATGTGGAACTCGCTTACAATTGGATTTTTCTTCTGAAACAAAATGTCCCGTTATAGCCGTGTTCTACTGTAAAAGGATCTATGGATTCAATGGATTTAACAAACAAAACCAAGGTCCGCCAAATGGAACAATTTGGAGGCTGAAGTGCTCTTCATTGTACATTATTATAATAATATATATATTTGGTCACTATTCAAAGTGAATCAAAGCAATCCCAAAAGACAATGGTAAACCTGCTTTGGCAAAATTCATCGTCAGGATGTCCTGTCCAACATGATGGAATATATGCCTTAAACTTAAGTTACAAAGTTGACGTCAACCACTACGCTCTAAACGGTCAGGGAAAAGAAATGAAAAGAAAAGAAAGGAAGACAAATTGTTGTAGACCGCATTTTCTTGGTCTTAAATGTACCGTACTCATTTAAAATAGGACCATAATATTATGTTTTGGCCTAAAAACAAAAATTAACACTTTTCTTCCTGTAGCAAAGACTGTTGGAAGATAGATTAGAAAACGTTCTATATATATACATACAATATATATATATATTGGTTGACGTCAACTGGGTAGGGCTGGCAATGGTGACAGAAGATGACACGCCCGGAAGAAGGGGAAAAGGGGGGGGGGGGTTTTTTGTCTAATTTCAGCTGACGTCATTTGTGAACGGTCCCTAAATGTTCTGGACCGGTCTGCAAGATCAACAGGCTTTAGCCTAACAGAACATCTTCTGTAAGTTGTTAGATAACCTTGACTGGAGTATTCGAAACATCCGCACGCCGTGCTCACTCGACAAGAATTGAAGGCTCCACTTCACAATCGCAAGGAATGGCAGGGAATTCCTAGGCAACCATAAGGGCATTGCATTTGTATTGTAATTCAGTCAGTGAACATACGGTTTGTAGCAGCAGTCAAGCTCGAAGAGGCCACGCCCAATACTGACCAAACCTTGATTTTGATTTTGTAATCTTCTATGTGATTAGAATTATCTCCCATGAATAGAGTAAAGACATTGAACTTGAACCAATTTGTTATGCCCCATGAGCAGAAAATGAATGAAGATCATATGTACCAAGTTTCGCTTGGCTATGTGGATTAGTAATTGAGTTGTTGTACGGTACTTTGATGTTGAAGGCGGATGTGACACGACCTTTGCAACATGGTATGCTGTAGTCTTGTACTACATTCCACAGGAAACCCTGGACTTGGAGTGCATGTGCTGCTTTCAAAAGCAGCACTGCTTACAAGATCTCCATTTGTACGCAAGTTTGTACGACAGATCTTTTTCATGCAGCATTTGCACCAGATGTAGCCTATGATACTTGTACAAATACTCCAGTTGAAGAGACTTTCTTGTACTAACAACATGCTGTATAGTATGGGACTTACGCTCTAACCAAACAAACCAACACAGGAAACGAAGCAGATAGATGATACATGTAGCCTACATATCATGTATCTTTTTCACTAAGACTAAAGTACAATGTGTCTCAGTTCCTTACTTTCTGTAGGCCCCATTATGCCTGTTATTATTTGCAACCTACAGTATGGAAAATAAAATGTGTGGGCCCTACAGCACAAAGATAGTTTTATATTGCCCATTTTTATTCACTTTTGTTTGTTTCTTGATGATTTGTTAGGGCGAGTGGTTGGTGGGCGCTCTGGTGTGGTCTACTCCGTTTGTTTCTTTGTGTCGATAGTCTCATAAAAAAACAATAAACAAACAAACCAAAGCAAGATGATTTAAGTTGACCATGTCTGCCCCCCCCCCCCGGTCAGTGCACAGGGCGGTGAAGAAAAAACCCAGAAAAAAAAGCAGAGTCGACGGGTCCTGGGGGTTTTATGCCACTGTCGGCACTCTCTTGCTCTTTTTAACTCCCAGTGGAGCATAGCCATCAACAACATTTCTCCAGCTTAGCCTGTCCTGTGCATCCTTTTCTAGCTGTTTTCATGATGTCCACGCTTTTTCCATTTCCGCTTGTACCGCTCGACTCCTTGTCATCTTTGGTATTTCTTTCTTAAAACGTTTTCCTTGTGGATTCCACGTCAAAGTCTGTCTGATGATGCTTGTCGGGGGTCTCCTCAGGGTGTGCCCAATCCATTTGCTGTGACTGTGAGCCTCCATGTCTCTGAACCATACAGTAGAACAGTCTTTACGTTTGTTTTGAATTCAGCTTGGTGTTCAATCCTAGTTCCTTAGACATCCATTATATTTCTGAGGATGATGAATGCTGCTCTTGCCTTTTGGATTCTGACCTTTATGTCTTCGTCTGTTCCCCCTGCCTTGTTGTTTATCACACTTCCCAGGTAGGTGAAGGATTCAACATCCGCCAAGGGTGCTCCTTGCAGTGTGATAGGAACGTCAGCTGCACTCATCATTCGAATAACTTTCGTTTTATCTGTGTGAATATGGAGTCACTAGGGAGAGAAGGTCCTGAGGCGATCTGTCTTCTATTGGATCTGGGTTCAACTGTGAGAAAGAAGTGCCAAGTCGTCGGCAAAGTCCAAGTCTTCTAACTGACTGGAAATGGTCCACTATGCTACCGCACTGTCCCGATGTTGTCTGTCTCATTATCCAATCCATTGCTGATAAAAAGAGAAAAGGCGATAGCAGGCATCCCTGTCTTACTCCTGTTTTCATTTCAAACGAGCCTGTCCGTTGCCCTCCAATTAAGACACTGCAGCTCATTCCCTCATACATTTTCTTGATCAATCTCACAAACTTGTCAGGTATTCTGTAGTGGCGCATGAGTTTCCATATATTGAGTCCCTATCTAGGCTGTCAAAAGCTTTCTCGTAGTCAACAAAGTTAACGTATAGTATAGGGAAGAGTTCCAGTCTATGGACTAGTCTAAAAATACTACAATTATTGTCAAATTTGACCGGGGCAAGGTACAGGGAGGAAATCCTGCGTCCCCTTGATGTTCCTCTCCTGCGGCAGATTGGACCCCAGGTTGTTCTGCAGGACGACAACGCCACGCCACATCGTGCAGGCATCGTGGGAGACTTCCTGCAGCAGTGAGCTGTCACCCGCATGGACTGGCCAGTTTGTAGTCCGGATTAGAACCCAATAGAAAACATTTTTGATCACACTGACCGGTGGATAAGGAACAGCCACCCTCCTGCACAAAACCTTCAACAACTCTTGGGTTGCCTCGTCCAGGAGTGGTAGACCCTACCGCAACACAAGGTGTCCGAAGGCATGTCCAGTCCATGCGTCAACGCTGTACCGAGTGTTTGGTCAAACGAAGTGGCTACACCCACTATTGACAATGTTCATGAAGAACTATGGCTGTTCAGACTTTTGAAATCCGACCAGTGTGACTTAAACCCATTTTACATGAACTTTTCGTTGTTGTTGAAATCTGAAATTGTACACAGCCGAAAGCATCTTTTTTTGATAAAATGACAAAATTCGGTTAACTTGTTCTTCAGTTATCTTTCTTTGAATATTTTTTCCTGGACTTTTTGTGCGAGTTTACATTATAACAACATTATAACTAAATAGTAGACTCTAAAGTATTTACCAAATAATGTTCAATTGTTTTTTTTAATACTGAGCTAATTAAATATAATCACACTTGCAATCCCCTGTCTTGGGTGCCTCGACACCCTGACACCATAAGTAAGTAAGTAAGTAAGTTCTTCTCCCCTCTGTCACGGGTGCAAGCACACCCACAAAGTATTTACTGAAAAGGGAATGTTGATTCCCCTACTGAGCCCTTGAGCTGTTTTTCGTTGAAAAACTTAATGAATGACACAATTGTAGAACACAAACAGTGATCCAAGGGAGAACAACTCTATGAAAATAGAAGAAGTGGTTGAAAAGCGACGAAAATTTTGAAATAAAGGCTCTCATGGCCTCATTGTTGGCACTGGGCTCTTTGAACATGGTTGATTTGAAGATTATCTCAATAAACAACATATTTAGGGAAATAACTTCCTCACTGTCAGGTCGCTTTTCAGTCACTAGCGTTTCGAAGCTCTGATGACCTATCTTAGGTTCAATGACAAGATGGATAGGAGGTCGACAAGAAGAACAAAGGATGCTCTGGCTCCCATTCGTGAGGTGTGGGACCTTTTTGAGAAACAATTGTCTAAGCACTACAAACAGCTATAGTCCTTTTCTGACGGTCGATGAACAACTTGTCCCTTTTCGTGGTTGCTGCAAGTTCCGAATAACATGCCCAGCAATCTTGACACATACATGTAGAGAACATATGGTTTCACAATCTACTGGCTCTGTGAGGCTGACATATCCACTAAAAGCATTGCCATTAACTGGTAAAAACTAGTTGCTGTCAGAAAAGATTCATGGTGCAAATTTGGTTCTGAAACTTGTGGAGCCATTCTTCAGAATTTTATAGATCCAAAAGGGGAAACTTTGGGGGAATATCTTATGAGTTCAAAAACACTGTACGACACTATTATGGCTGACACTTCTTTGATTATCTTGAACGGAAGCAAGTACAGAGAAATGGGCATGTATAAAAACTGAAATCGTAGCAGTTGTTTCTTTCTTATTCTGATTGTTCAACGCTCCATACAATTGGCATATATTCAGGTAGGTACTAGTACTGGTCTTAGAGTAAGTTAGAGCTCTCCTATTTCCCCATCTCTCCTACCGCGAGACAGAATATCAACATTATTTTATTTTTACGTACAATACATTGAAACAACAAGGAACATTATCTTTGAAAGAGGAGCAAGTGGCATGGGGTGGGGGTGGAGGAGAGGGTTGGGTTTATTTTTTAGCTCAGTAGGTTATGTTACTGTGGCTATGCGTATGAAACTGGTTCGTACTCTTACAATGTTTTTAAAAAAAATTAACTTGGGTTGTTTGGGGAGTTTTTCTCGTTTCCCACAAACTTTTTCTCTGTCCTTTCGAAGATGGAATTCACATTAGAAGGTACCACCTCTTGAGTAATCGTACTGTATTGAAAGTGGCGTGAAGCTCAAACAAAGCGATGTAACTTTTGTTTGAATATATTATGTTTTACGCCTCCATCGACACAATTTAGATCAATTACAGAGACGGTCTTCAACCAACCCTACATGTCAAGGCTAGCCAAAGCTGTGAGAAATACAATATTCTTGAATTTCTCTCCACTAAGGAATCTAACTCGGGTCTCTTCAGGGCGACAGTGAAGAACCGGACAGTTACACTACAAATGATGATTAATTTCATTCCCCACCAACTCGTACAATTACTAAAGAAAACAACAACACAACTTTGTGCTGCGTTTCCTCTTCACAAGGCTTTTCTTTATGTTCTATGATACCATTTTCATCTCAAACGTCTCTTGAACTGCTAACCTTCCTCACTCTTTACCTGTGTTTAAATTACATGTATTGAGAAAATACCTTGAGTGCTTGATAATATCCACATTGCCCAGCTCCTTAAATTTATTCCCACTAGTTGTTGATAAGTAAGATATAATAACAGCAGAGAACATTGTGTCGCAACGTGGTGGAATGAGGCGCTCATCAATTTTTGGTCATATTGAGTTATTCGTAGGGCCTATATCTTAAAGCCTGTTCATTTGCCATGTTTTTGATAAGAAATATTCATCTATCTCCAATGAGATTTTTGCTCTTGACGGAGAAGGGGGTCGCCTGGTTTCAGAGGTAGAAATTAGTGTGGAAACTGCCGCCTAAGTCTGGTGACTTTCAAAGCTTGAGAGTACTTAGATACTGAAAATTTACTTTTTTTGGGTGCTTTTTACCAACGCCTTTGCGTAAATCCATGTAGGCTATGTGAGGCAGCGTGGTAGAATCAGGCTTTCGTCAATTTTTGTGCATGGAGAGTTATTGGTATCATCTTAAGGCTTATTCACCTGTCTTTATTTTGATGAAAAAAATATCCATTTAACTTGAATACAAGTCGAGATATTTGCGAATGAAGGAAGTGAGGGTCACCTGTTTTCAGAGGTAAATTTAATGAGAAAATGGCCGCCATAGATTAGTTATTTCCTTAGCTTAAGAGTCCGTGGAAACTGAACATTTACATTTTTGTGCCTTTAATCAACGTTTTTCAGAAAAATCCAAACAGAAATGAGTTTTTAAATGGACATAAAAGGTGTTGAGCCCCCAAAAAAAAAAAAAAAAAAATATATATATATACTCAAACCTGCGAAAAAATGCCAGTTTCTTCACTTTGATTATATTGACGAGAGCCTGATTCCACCACGCTGCCTCACATTTAAATATATGTTTTATACGAGCATAAAAAGTTTTGAACACCCCCCCCCCTAAAAAAACCCCAAACAAATTGCCAAAACTGGCAGAAAAAAATTACGTTCTTTGATGTATTTGTTTACCTGATTTCACCACAATTTCTTACTTATTAAAAAAAGAGAACACATGAAAATGGCTTGTTGTACTCTATTTTTGCCACATATTTGGCATCTGACTATGTCTCTTCATTGAGAATCCATTACCCCCGATCTTCCTCTCCCCACCCCCACCACCCCTACTCCGATATCTTTTTTCCCCATCTCTACTTACCTGGATCAGGCTTTAAAATTACAAAAACGAAAACAAAGAAAACTTCAAAAAACAAATTATGCTGATCCCTCTAATTACACTGGGCGTGATGGCCACAGCAGCCACCCACAAAAATACCAGTGACAGCCATGACCAATGGAGTACGGAGAAGCAAATGGGACACGATGTAAACGAAGAAAAATTCCCAAATATTTTCCAAATCCCGGCCAAAGAGCCCCTCACATCTCCTCGAAATCCACGACGTCGCGCAAATTATGCTGGGCCGTTCGTTCAAAATATTTGGAACGCCCTTATCCCAAAGAGGAATAAAAATGTCATTGAACTACGAAGTGGATCAACAAGATGGTTTCAGGAACATACCCATAGCCCGTCACAGAACACGCTAGATGGACAGGCTTATGAAAGGTCTGCCTCTCGCGCCTCGTCTCTTAGCGGGGATTTGTCGGAGAATGGTCCAATCGAAGCCGGAACGGACAACGGTGACCTTAACCTTGCACAACTGAAGCAAGGGAACAGATTGTATCGTGACAGGCGTAACGTCACGTCACAGGCGTCCTCCTCACCGACACCCGACATAGATGTGGTGAATGAGACGCGAAGCCAAAATATTTCCACTGGCATCACTCCTTTGAAAGCAACAGAAGAAAATCGATATTCGTAAGTAAAATGTTATGATCATTGTTTGCAAGAGAAAATATCTATCTATCTATCTATCTATCTATCTATCTATCTATCTATCTATCTATCTAT